GGGGACATTCGGCTTATTTTAAACAAGAATGGCATCACCCTGCTTATTTGCGACAAAAATAAAATTTTGCTGTTTTTGGGCTATTTTTCCAAAAGGAAAGTTGGACCCGATGGGGGTTGCCTACGTATCCCATATCCAGTGAGAATCAAACTAGCGTAGTTCAGGCAGATTTGACAAAAATGAAAACCAACTAATTTTAAAGACAAAACTCTCTTTTTTTTTCTTTTTTTTTTTCAAAATTTTGGCAGAGTTACGGTATATTTTGGACACTGATTTTCAAAACAAGTAACTACCTCTCTAAGCCTTCACACTGTTAATTTCTTTTCCCAATTTCTTCTATTATCCACAAGTCGGTCAACACGCAAATCTGAAGCAAATAGATGCACAAGTAGCACGTAGGATGCATCAGGGTGGTCTTTTCATTTCGGGTACGCCTGTCCTAGACAGACCCAACCCTTGTATTGAGTCTCCTAAGTCAAATGCACGTGATGCAAACAAACGTTCCTACTAGGTATCCGGCATGAGGTTTTGTTATACTAGGTTTAAAACCTGGGTTTATTGTTCTAGACCTGGCTTACCCGAGAGGACAGCTCGAGCCGAGGGGGGGCAGCGTACCGAAATACAGAAGCTTCACCGGCTTAGCAACTTATCCAAACCTCATTCTAAAATGGGATAAGACTCTAGACAGAAGAGAAGTCATACGAAGTGCAACCTTCTCCATGATTTAGAAGACTCAGAGAGAGGAAGGGTTTCATAGCAGTTTATATACAGTTCACAGATGATCAAAGCGGTAAAAGCATTTAGCACATTTGGCTCAAACATGTAGGAAAATCAGGTAACAGATACAGCCAATCATAACAACTATTCTAAGCTCGAATTCTTGAACCCTGAACCAGAGATTCTGGGTTCGATCCCCAGCAGAATCGCCAGAGCTGTCACACTTCCTTTTTTACCCACCCGAAGGTAGTATAAGGGAGTTTTTTCACCNTCTAGCACGGTCACTTAAACTATTACAATTGCCTATTATTTGATTTTAATACATGTTTTAGCCTATGGTATAATTTTAAATCATCAATCACTTTAATTAATTTTAAAGAAGATTGAACGCCGTCTAAAACATGTCTTTGGACCGCGCCACATGAAATGCACCCGCAATGCGAAACACATTTTATTCAACGTTATTAAGATTTGGATTTGGGTCACATGAAATGCGCACCCGAATTTAAGAAGGTAATATTATTAAAATAACGCGCCTAAAGCAACAACGCGTTGTTAACTTTGCGAGGGCCATGGAAATTTGCTAAATGGCACGCCTAGGATTCTAAGGATTTTAAAAATTAATTAAATGAGGGCCATGCATTTTGAGATTTTATTTGGCGCGGCTCACCTCGATCCAATTTTAAAGGAATTCAAACTAAAGCTTTTGAGGGCCATAAATAGTACATTTAGCTAATATGGCACACTTCAAACTAATTTTAAGAGGCTAATTAAGTAATTAATGAGGATTGAAACATTCTAATTATTTTAGCTAAAGGTTTGACCTTACTTATTAACCAATAGGTATCGTACTAGAGACCAATTATCTAAAGGAAATTGTGAAGCTGCATCTGATGAAACAAGAGACAGGCTCAAGCAGCAGAAAAGGTAAATGATCTATTAACAAATGCCCTCAGGCTTGGGCCCAAATTTGTGAAACAATGAACTCCTCATGGGGTGTGTAATTGAATCTGAATTCGAGCGTTCTTTAGCAGGGCCAACGTTAGGTCCAGTTCTCATGATCCAAATGATTTATACTCAAATCAAATAATACAAATCAACTGATGTTAACATGGAACATGAAGTCAGATTAATAAACTAAAAATCTGATTTTAACATTTAACACAAATTAACTAAGCTAAATTTCTAATTTTATCTTTCATGCATCCTCGAGTCAGATCTGCTACCAGAACAATCCAGTAACCAAACGAATGAGTTGTTGGGCTCAAGAAACGAACCCAAATAGCAACAACAAGCGATCTTCCCTTGCAAATGACTTCAGAATCTAGGGCTTGATGAGCTCTAACACTGTAACAAACAAGATTGAGGATTCCACACTCAACATCGAGTCTATACTAAAGCAAGACGACCCCTTGCACTCAAACACAAACTGTTAAATCTCACCACTACCCAATAACTAATACACCAGGAAAACTTTGAATACTACTGAGAATACATGCTTGACTCCAAACTGACAAATATTCATGCTTAAACTAAACTTACAAACACAGCATGAAACTTTAAACTAACTAACTCTTTTTCAATACCAAAAAGTAACAAAATCTAGAGAATTAATTATCACCCAAAACTCTTAAAGAGCACACATTCATTTGTATAGCATATTAAGGGCAAGGTAAAATTGAAAATAACGCATATAACTTTGGATTTAATACAGAACAGCTACAGTAATAGAAGAAGCAAAGAAGCACAACTCGAAACAATTTCGTATTTAATCAAATTTCCACTCGGAGAGGCATGTTTACAGTCACTAGCCCTCCATAGTTTACAGAAATACCTGGAAATGGAAAGGAAAACAAAGAAGTGAAGATTCAACAGGAGAACAGCAGCGGGGAACTCAAACAAAAGAAGCAACAGCAGAGTCAACTAAAGCCCAGCAATAAAACAGTAAAAACAACAGCCAAACTCCAACCCAAACTTTAAAGGACCCAAACTTCATCCATTTCTACCCAAGTGCAAGAATTTGTCATTTTTTCAGTAGTTTTCACTAAGCGATGAAGATCAGAAATCAAAACTAAGCAAAATTCGAGCAGTTTTCAGTAAAAAATGCAGGGAATTCTAAGATATTTTCAGAGTCTTTGGCTGTTTCAGTTTTTCCAGAATTTTTTTTTCATGCTCTACCCTGAGCTTAAAAAAAAGGTGCCTTTATAGGCAAGGTTTTAGGGCTGTAATACTAAAATCATTTTTGCATTTTAAACTTTTTTGTCTTTTCATTTTTGTTGTCATAACCTTGGCTTAAAACACAGTATTTCAATTTAGTCCCAATCTCCAGCTTCCTAGAAGCTTCCCTATTCAGTTAGGAGAGATTCCTTCACCTAAATTTTCTAGTTTACCCCTTAATACCCTTATTTTTTACTTCCACACATCAACAGACAAATGACCCAAAGGTCTTGGGCTAACCGTGCCAGCAAATTCTAGGGCCTTTTGGGCTTCTAAACCTTTGAGGCCCAAATTGTGATAAGAAAAATCACAAGCCGCAAAATAGGTGAGCCCAAACCATTCTGCCATTTTCGGCATCAAGAGAAAAATTAACGGAGTAGAACAAAACAAGCAAAAAGAAAAACTAAAGAAGGAAATGTTAATTAAACTAAAATGCTGATAATTACTAACATGATTTAAATCCTAAACATGCAACATATTGATTCGAACTAACAAAGAAAAGAAACTAAGAAGAAACATACAATTGTGCAAATTGGAATGCATACAAAACGGGTAGAAAAGATAGGAGATAGAAAAAGAGATGAAAAGAATGAATTTAGACGAATAAAAAGAAACACATGCAAGAAGAGGAAGAGAGACTGAAGGTACCTAAAACCCAAACGAATGAAATCTTGAAAACTTCAAAGGAATCTTCAATTTCTGACCGGAATAAACCTTAATCATGTGCTTTCAAATAAACACACACGAATAAAGTCTATTTCAATCCCGAATCTTCGAACAGACCTGCCGATTTGGGGTTTTAGAATTCTAAGGTTTCAAGCTTCGATCTAAGATTCGAGAAGTTCTGGCAAGATTAGAGGGAAATCAGTTGTATATTAAGGGAGCGAGAGCCATGGGGGTTCTACGGTGTTAATTTGGGGTGATTCGGAGGTGGAGCCGCCGGCTAAGGCGGTGAAAAATAGGGCGGCGTTAGGGTTTTGGGTAAGGGTCTCTGGAGATGGAGATAAGGTGAGAGAGATGAGACGGGGGGTGCAGGGCGTTTGGACAGTTTTATATTAAAAAGACCCTCAGTTCACAGCCGTTGATTTGGACGAGATCAAACGGCTCAGATTAAGTACACAAAAACGGGGTCATTTGGGATTATGTGGGTATTGGACCGATTTTGGACGGGTTTGGGCTAACTGGACGGTTATTTGAAAGGGGAAAATTAGTTTGGGCTTGGGAAATTTCGGATTTTTTGGCCCAAAAATCTGAATTCTCCAATTCCTTTCTTTTTTCTTTTCTTTTACTTTTATTCCAAAATTCTTTTTCTTTTTCCAATATTAAAAAAAAAATCTAAATTAATTTCTAATACAAATTATCCTCATAAATTAAATTAGTTAACTCTAAATAACAATTACCACAAATAATTAAATACCAAACTAAAAGGAAAACTACCAAAATTCGAAACTCAAAATTAAAAATGCAAAAATTAGTTATTTTTCGTGATTTTTTCATTTTTTTAAAACACTAATTTACCAATTAATCTAAAAATGTAAAATTAAATCCTAAATGCAATGCGTGATATTTTGATATTTTTCATGTTTTTTAAATAAAACTTAAACGTGCACAAAATTGCAAACAATTAAATAAAATTCTACAAAATTCCTAAAATGGTAAATAATTAACAAAATCTATTTTCTTGGGATTTTTATAGGAGTATTTCATATAGGGCAAAAATCACGTGTTCACATTATCCACAATTACACAATTGACAAAAATTTGAACTCCAAACAATAGTTCCTAAAATCTATACATATTTAAACTGAACATCCACATGTAAATATTTCCCAATAAGCTTTACAATAAAGGATGTGAAGTTCGCTAAGATTTGACATTCTTCTTGTGTTTTGATTCGCGACACAGCACCATGAATGACCAACTTCCTCAAATTAGGGCACCTTCCCAGTAGTTCTGCAACCCAATGTGAGAATAGGTCAGTAATCACTTTCCAGCCAAGCTCCAATACAACCACATTTTCCAGTTGAGAATAACCGAGCAATCCACACTGAAGTGAATCTCTGAGTTCATACGTCAAGGATAAATGACTTAATAGAGAAAAGCAAGCAGAAGTAGTCATTATCCTCAACTTCAACGTCATCTTCAAATGTAATACCACATAGACTCATCCTTCTTACTTTTGATAATTTTGATATCATATGATGGAAATCGGGCTGCCATGTTGTGGAGTTGCTGAACTCCACAATTTCAAGATTCTCAGCATTCTCACCAATATCAGGAGGGAAGCCATAGACGTCATCCATTTCAAGGAGTCTCAACGTCCCTTTGCTCAGAAGCTTGAAGATCCCAAGGTCAAAATCTTTTATTTGCAGTTTCTCAAGGCTATCAGCCTCCAAGATGATTTCATCCAAAACAATGCCTTGAATGTGGATATCTTTCAAAGAGTTACTACGAAATTTCATTGTGCCCCCCGGACCAAACGTATCAAAATCCAGACAAACAAGATTTAAGACCTCAATTTTGGGGCAGACAGTGAGCAGACGACTCAGGTCCAAAGCTGATATGGTGACACGTTCCAGTGAAAGAGACCTCAAGCAAGAAAATTTTTGGTAACTAATTCAACTCTGGATATGGTTATCTCTACCAGATCCAACAGTTCCAACCTCTGGTGACCACATTTTTCAAGTATATTAAGGTTTGGGGTATTCGCACTAAAATGCAATTGGCGTAAGGTTTCTCTTGCATACAATAGCCAAGCAATCACTGGAGCAGCAGAGAGCACATCTTTTTTCATGGTTATTGAAAGACATTGCAGTGCATTGGTCTGGAAAATTGTCTGAGTTATAATTACTTCAAATCTGCGTGTCATGCGCTCATCATAAACAGGCCAGTCATCCGAATTAAATTTAAGTGTATGAAGATGGTTCCTCCACGCCTCTTGCCACTTCCGGCAAGTAAAAGATGCAATTACAACATCTCGTGCATCTTCAAGCCGTGACAATATGTTGCCAATGACCTCGACAGGAAAGAACTCCATAACCTCCTAGTAAAACAGCAAGTTGGAAAGGGTTCCCAGAAAAAAAGATGCTATAACCCAAAATATCCACTTACGGCACTGAAATCTCCAGTTTCCGCCACAATTTTATCCAGGCTATGGGATGATTATCAAGCAATCTGAAGTCCACCATCCAATTACTCTCACCAATCCATGGAGGAAAAAATATTCACAAACTAATTGAACCACAAAAACAAGACCTCAATTTACACTGTTCAAGCAGAGATTGACAACTAAAACCATACCAATCTTGTGGGAATATCGAGCAAAAAGTGACCTACAAGCAAGCCAACAGCAGACCAGCAAAAGGAAAATATACTGAAACTTATTCCTAGATTGCAACTTAAAATCCCATCAAAGAGCTCTTTTAGTATAAGATACAGAGGATACAGGAGGAAGTTTTCGCTTCAGAAGCAAGTAGCAACTATCTCAATAATACCTCTATCATATCCTGATCCTGGAACCATAACACGTCAGAATAAATAACTGAATCAAGATACTCACATATTTACAGAGATGTAGAAGAATAAAATGGAGAACAAATTCAAGAACTTAGCTAAGTTATCTCAAATTTGAGGATTATGATTACAACCCTGAAGCACAAAATGATTCATCAGATAAATAATAAGAGCCCATGAAGGGAAAGCTCAGAAGAAAATGAAATAGCCAAGAGGGAGATGTTGAATTCAAATGAAGATGGAAATTTACCAAGAGGAAGGTATTGAATCTTATTTAGTTTAGGAGAGAATAGGTGAAGATAGCTGGTGGGCAACACAATGTAGGCTTGCCAGTGGTCACAGGGAACAACATGAAGTCTCACGTCTTATGGCTTATTATTTGGTGCGGTTTTAAAGCTATTTTTGGTGTATCTTCTAAGCCCACAACTACTAGAATAATGTCGTCTATGATCCTTTTCTTCTTTGGCTATTATTTAGATCAAGGAAGGGGAACCTTGGAGCAACTGTAAAGTTTCCTCCGAATGACCTACAAGTCATGGGTTCGAGCTGTGGAAGCAGCCACTAATGCTTGCATTAGGTTAGGCTGTCTACATCACACCCCCTGGATGCGGACCTTCTTATGAATGCGAGATATCGTGTACACCGGGCTGCCCGCTATTATATTAGATCAATTTCGGTTGCAGTAATTGCTTCGTTTACTCCAGCTTATACTAAAAAATTTATGAAATTATTTTCCTTCTGTTAAGTACTTAGTCATGTATAGTGTCCCACATCGGAAAGTAGATACCTATTATTATGTAATCACTGTATATAAATAAGGTTATACAACACTTTAATTAAGCAATAATATTTTCTCCCGTGCATTCTCACATGGTATCAGAGCATTAGTGAGAAATTTATCGATGTGCATCATTCTAGCGACTTCCAGGAAGAAAGACCTCATCACTGTGCATCATTCTAGCGACTTCCGGGAAGAAAGACCTCTTCGCCGTGCAATTTTCCGGCGACTTAGGAGGATGTCTGCAACAAAATCCTTTTTCCTTTGTGTTGTGCAAAATTCAACACCACCCCAAGGTCCCTAAGACAGAAGCGACCAAACCCTAGAAAAAAATCTCCGAAAAAGGACCCTCCACAGGCCCCCACGTGCCGGTCAGAGAAGGGTTTCTGCTGGCGCGTCTATCCCACGCGATGGCACGTGTACTTGTCTCCAACCATTTTTTGGCCGACTTTCTTTAGGATAGCCTGATCGCGAAGCTTTCCCCAGCCTACCCATCAAGGTTATATCAGATTCCGATGTCTTTTTTATTTTGAAAGAATTACAAGAAAATACACATGACTTCACACCATAACAAAAAAGGCCCATATTTTTAAGTTTTACCCAACCTAGCCCATATTGTATATATTTTGAAAGTACTAGCAAATTCAAAATTTTGTGTTCTTACAACCATTGCTTCTAAAAAGCTATGGAGTTAAATTTGTGTCTCAGAACCATTGCTTTCACTCTCTTCTTCTCATATATTCTACATATGCTTCAAGGAGCCGTGTATTTTCTGCTTCTCCCCCCGTATCAACTGGTTGCAATATAAGAAAATTGAAGAGTTGAAGTCCATCATTGAAGTCCATTCAAAGCTTTGCTTTCGAGAATAGGATTTTTTGAGTTTGTTAGTTGTTTGGATTGGGTGTTGTTCCAATTGATTGAAAATATCAAAAGAAGTTCAAAATTTAAATTTGAAGTGATTTGGAGTAGATTTGACCAAGATTTGAGCTAAATTTCAGAAAAGACGCAAGGAAGTAGGCGAAGTCAGTTTTTTGTATAATTATGTATAATCTTGTATAATAGTGTATATGAGTGTATAAACACGTCTTATACACTATTATACAATTTTATACACCTTTATACAAGCGTCTGTAGACGAACTTCTTCCACGATTTTCAGTTGCAATTCTTGTTAAAAACCAGTCCAAATCTCCATTAAATGACATCAAATTTTATAAACAACATATTTATACTATTTCTAAGAAGTTTAAATAACACCCACTCCAAAATCCACACAAAATCAAATTCGGAATTTAAACCCACATATTTAAGCTTGTTAAAAATCGAATTTTCACCACCCAAATAAATTTAACTAATATTTGAGTCATAGTTACTGATTCTAAAATTAACTTAAAAGCTTGAGCAATCTTTTTTAAGTTAAATAGTAATTTTGAGAACCTATTGGAGTTGAATGTTGAGTATTAGCCTATTATTTTTGGGCTAGTTGGTTGTAAATTGAAGTATGGTCTATAAAATTGAAAAGTAGGGAGCCCAGTTGTTCTTATGCGAAATTTTCCCTTTTATTTTCCGGCGAGCTACAGTGTTCCGTCCATTTTTTGGAAAAGTTTCTTCAGGACAGCCTTATTTTCTAGTAATTCCGATCAGGCCCATACTGTTTTCTTTTTATTCCGAGCACTTTGAGATTTTTTTGGCGTGAACAGTGAGATTTATGCTTTTTCCGGCACAATATTATAATGTCATTCGTATCAGAAGCCTTTAACTCACAATACGTTGGATCCAATGCATTGAATCCAATCCAGATGGTTTCTTTACCGGATTATATTGAGTTCCTTCAGTACAAAGTATGTAAATAGACATCTTCAAGGATAGCTTCCGTTGTTCAAACAGATAGTAGCGTGACTTGTGTCTCCCAATATTCAATCTCTGAGTCTTGGGTTATTGATTCAGGTGCATCTAATCATATTTTGGTAACAAATCTCTTTTCACTAGTATTTCGTATTCTCAATCTCTTCCAATAGTCACAATGGCAAATGGGTCTCAAACCATGGCAACTGCAATAGGCCAAGCAAGCCCACTTCCTTCCTTACCTTTAGAATAGTTCTTTATGTTCCCAATAGTCATTTTAATCTCATAGTCGTTAAGTCGCTTAGCCAAATCACTTAAATGCGTGGTTTTATTTCTTGATGACCTCGTTTTCATACAAGAAGGCAGTATGGGGCGGATCATTGGTACCGGGCATGAATCAGATGGACTTTATTACCTTATCCTTGTAAAATCACATGGACTCACATCTTGTCTTCCATCAATAACTTGTCTTGTTACCGATTCACCAAATTTATTACATAAACAGTTGGGATATCCCAATTTGTCAAAACTTCAGAAAATGGTACCTGGTTTATCTCACTTGTCTATTCTAGAGTGTGAGTCATGTCAGCTCAATAAGCATACCTACACCCATTTCCCTCGATGTCTTGATAATCGAGCAAAGTCACATTTTAATTTAGTCCATTCAGATGTTTGGGCTTCTAGTCGGGTCAGTTCTACCTTGGAATTCCGCTACTTTTTCAGTTTCATTGATGATTTTTTTTTGATAAGGAGTCAATTTCATTGATGATTATTCCAGGTGCACTTGGATATTTTTTATGAAAAATCGATCTAAGTTGTTTTCTATTTTCCAGACCTTCCACACTGAAATTCAAAATCAATTTGGGGTTTCTATCTACACATTTCATAGTGATAATGCCCTAGAGTATTTGTCTTCCCCATTTGAGCAGTTTATGAACTCTCATGGGATTATTCATCAAACATCTTGTTCATACATATCTCAACAAAATGGGGTAGCTGAATGAAAGAATAGACATCTTATTGAAACTGCTCGTACCCTACTCATACAATCTCATGTTCCGTTGCATTTTTGAGGGGATGCAGTTCTTACATCTTGCTATCTTATTAATCATATTTCATCTTCAGCTATCTAGAATCAAGTTCCATTCTCTGTCATATTTTCCCACTTACCTTTGTTCTCTCTTCCACCCCGTGTCTTTGAAAGCACGTGCTTTGTTCATAACGTTACTTTAGGAAAAAGATAAGTTAGCTCCTCGTGCTCTTAAGTGCGTATTTCTGGGTTACTCGAGAACACAAAAGGGGTATCGATGTTATTCACCTGACCTCCAGCAGTACCTTATGTCCACTGATGTTACCTTCTTTGAAACCCAATCGGTCTTCACAGGTCCAGGTAATCACCTAGATATTTTTGAGGTGCTACCAGTTTCATCTTTTGGAGATTCAGTCACTATCTCCCATTCATCTTCCTTTACAACTCCAGCTCCACCATCTACTGCTCCAGTTGCAGCTCCACCACCTATAGCTCCAGTTCCACCACCTAGTCCAGTTCAACATTTTGCAGCTCCACCACTCTTGACTTATCATCGTCATCTATGTCCATTATCAGGCCCAGGTGATTCACGTCTTGCATCAGATTCTGCACCTACTGCGGATTTGTCTCCTCTTAGTCAACCAATTGCACTCAACAAAGGTGTACGATCCACACTTAATCCTAATCCTCATTATGTCGGTTTAAGTTATCATCATCTGTCATCACCTCATTATGCTTTTATATCATCTTTTTCCGTTGTTTCTATCTCTAAGTCTACAGGTGAGGCACTATCTCATCCAGGATGGCGACAGGCTATGATTAAGGAGATGTCTTCTTTACATGCGAGTGGCACTTTGGCGTTTGTTCATCTTCCTTAGGTAAGTCTATTGTTGGTTGCCGTTGGGTTTATGCGGTCAAAGTCGGCCCAGATGGCTAGGTTGATCGGCTTAAGGCTCGTCTTATTGCAAAAGGATACACACAAATTTTTGGGCTTGATTATAGTGACACTTTATCTCCCGTGGCTAAAGTAGCATCTTTTCGTCTCTTTTTTTCCATGGCTACTGTACATCATTGGCCTCTTTATCAGTTAAACATTAAGAATGCTTTTCTCCATGGTTATCTTGAGGAAGAAGTTTATATGGAGCAACCACCTGATTTTGTTACTCATGGGGAGTCTAGTGGTCTTGTATGCCGATTGCGCAGGTCATTATATGGCTTGAAACAGTCCCCTCGAGCTTGGTTTGGTAAGTTCTGCACAGTTATTCAGGAGTTCGGCATGACTCGTAATGAATTTGATCACTCTATGTTTTATCAGCATTCTACTCCTAATCTGTGTATTTATCTGGTGGTTTATGTTGATGATATTGTTATTACTGCAATGATCAGGATGGTATTACTAATTTAAAGCAGCATCTCTTTCAGCACTTCCAGACTAAGGATCTAGGCAGATTGAAGTATTTTCTAGGTATTGAGGTCGCTCAGTCTAGCTCAGGTACTATTATTTCACAGCGGAAATATGCCTTAAATATTCTTGAGGAGACTGGAATGATGGGTTGTAGACCTGTTGACACTCGTATGGATCTGAATGATAAGCTTCTGCCTAGACAAGGAGAGTCTCTCAGAGATCCTACGAGATATAGGAGATTGGTTGGCAAATTGAATTACCTCACAGTGACTAGACCTGACATTTCTTTTCCTGTGAGTGTTGTAAGTCAGTTTATAGATTCTCCCTATGATAGTCACTGGGATGCAGTTGTTCGCATTCTTCGCTATATAAAGTCAGCTCCAGGCAAAGGGTTACTATTCGAGGATCGAGACCACAAGCAGATTGTTGGGTACACAGATGCTGATTGGGCAGGATCACCTTCTGATAGACGTTCAACGTTTGGATATTATGTTCTAGTAGGAGGTAATTTGGTCTCTTGGAAGAGCAAGAAACAAAATGTAGCTTCTCGATCTAACACCGAAGCCGAATATCGGCCCATGGCTATGGCAACGTGTGAGCTAGTTTGGGTCAAGCAGTTGCTCAAGGAGTTGAAGTTCGAAGAAATCAGCAAAATTGAACTGGTGTGTGATAATCAAGATGTTCTTCATATTGCATCAAATCCGGTATTCCATAAGAGGACTTAACATATTGAGATCGACTGTCATTTTGTCAGAGAAAAGACACTATCAGGAAACATTATTACAAAGTTTGTTAAGTCAAATGATCAGTTAGCAGATATTTTCACCAAGTCTCTTACTGGTTCTCGTATTAGTTACATCTGTAACAAGCTCGGTACATATGATTTATATGCACCGACTTGAGGGGGAGTGTTAAGTAGTTAGTCATGTATAGTGTCCCACATTGGGAAGTAGATATCTATTATTATGTAATCATTGTATATAAGTAGGGTTGTACAACACTTTATAAGCAATAATATTTTCTCTCGTGCATTCTCACATGATAAATGTGAAAACAATCTGTTGCACAAATGCAATCTGCATATAATAGAATCAATGTGGTACAGCCCTTCCTGGCTCTGCGCATATCGAAAGCTTAATGCACCAACCTGCCTCTTTTTATATTTCTCATAAAAGCTTTATAGAATTATTCATCTTTGCTAATAATGTTAGTTAAAGAATTATGTGTTTTTGCTTTATTGAGCCGAGGGTCTTCCGAAAACAGCCTCTCTACCTTCACGGAGTAGGGGTAAGGTCTGCGTATATACTACTCTCCCCAGACCCCACTTGTAGGAATACACTAGTATGTTGTTATTGTTGTCAGTTAAAGAATTACATTTAAGAATGATATCTTTAAGTTACTTCTGCTATTTTGTTATAATGACAGATGAGAAAGGAAATATCAAGTTTATTTTTCTATTAAAACACCCTTCATATTATCTTCGAGTTCAAGTGAGCGAGGGACAAGCAAAGGATATCCAAATTATTATAAGATCATTTCAACAATAGCATAAGCAATAATTCCGCAGATTCTAGCGATCTATTGTGAAAATCATACCCATCTATCTGCAAAAGAAGTGACAAAATATTTGAACAAATCTCCCTTCAATAGGGAAATTGCACCCCTAATAAGTCCTCGTGGCTTAGTTCAAGTGGCAAAGGTTGAGGAACTTGCGATCAAGCTCTGCGTCATGTGAGCTAAACTTGGTATTTAAGTGGAGAAGGGCAGAAAGGCGAACCTTTTATCCCCGAGTTTCAAAGGTTGGGTTGCCCCAAGCGAATTTCTCAATCATCAAAAAAGAATTCACACTTATAACAAACTTATATTAACAAAAATTATTTAATGCTTACAACTTTGTCAATAAAAAGTTGGACAATGGCTAAACAAATTTGCAGCCCAATAGCCCTAGCCTCTTAGACATGAAGAATTTTCTACTTCCTTTTCGTTCAAGTAAACTTGAGCTTTTTACTTATCCAAAAATGATAATAATAAAAGGAACGTCGGCTTTTGGGATCTAAAAAATATAAATTTAGTATTACGATATCCGATTATCTCAAAGACATTCCTGAAAATGCCTAAATAAGTTACAGCATAAAGCTGGAAGCTAGATTAATGATACGAATTCAGCTGCAGGTTGCTTCAGGTTGTGGTACCTTGTGCTTGCGCAGGAGTACATAGCCGTTATAATCAGTTGGGAAGGAGATTAGGATAAGTTTGCACGATAGTCAATTTAGTCCCAATTACTTTAAAGTTATAGTTGTTATAATTACACATTAACCCCATACATTTAGGTTATCAGGGCACATTAAGCCCAACTCTGTTGCCATTTCTGGGCAGTGATCGTACAGTGTAAGCTAGGTCATTTAGGGTTACAATATTATAAATTGTAAGGATCTTCTCTTTTTCATTTTAGAAACATATCAAATCCTTATTTTGCTGCCCTATGTTAGCTTACTTTTTGCTCTTTCTTTCTTTTTCTTTCCTTTCATTTTACTGTTCCATTGCTTTTCTCGCTTTTCTTCTCATTTCCTGCTACTTAGCTCAGCTTGTATCAGTGGTATCAGAGCATATCTTGGCTCTGTGGGTACAATGACTATCAATATGGACGAGGTTATGGAGACACTCAAGAAGATCTCCACAAAAGTGTCCATTGTTGCAGCAAGACAGGAACAACTGGAGGCTGCTCAAGAGCAAACTTGTAGAAATCAAGAAGAAGCTTTGAGTGAGATGAGGGAGGTACTCAATGAAGTCATACATGACGGGAAGAGGCCTGAGAGAGACAAATCAGTAGCCTACGGTGGAGGTGAGCTCTATTCTCCCAATGATAAGCCTTTAGAATTTGGAGATCTGGCTTCACCTAGCTCGCAAAGGGTTAATAGCCCTGCTGTGGTCAAAACTAGCAGTAACCCCATTTCTGTTGCCCCAATTAGAGCCACTTCTATGCCCGTGGCACCAGCTTCAATAATGCCTTCAAACCCTAGCTCCTCATCATATAATTTCACTGCACGATCAATACCAATACAACCTGCTCCCTTCCAAACATTCAGCTCTCAGCCACACCCTCCTCCACTCCCTAGAACAACTATGATGCCACATCAGCCTCCTCACAACCAAAACAGCTTAAGTAGGAGCTACCAACAGGCTCCTTTTCAGACCCAAGGCTCACCTATGGCTATACCACCACCATATAACCATTATGCCCAACACACTCAGTTCCCACCTACCTACTGTACCTTGTACCACTAGGTGCCTTACCTCCCTACACCACATAGTTATCAGTCTGCTCCCACCAATGGCCACCCACAGAATCCTCCTTACACTCCCACTATTGCCTTACCTAACATCCCTTTTGCTAAGTATCACAAGGTAGAATTTCCTAAGTTCAATGGTGATGATTTGAGGACTTGGTTGTATAAGGTGGAGCAATTTTTTGTTAATGAGGATGTTACAATTCAGCAGAGAATGAAGCTGGTATCCATGCATTTTGAGGGGAATGCCTTACAATGGCACTTAGGATATATGAGAAGCAGTGGACAACTGCCCCTTCCTACTTGGGAAGAGTACTTGTGGGCACTTTGTGACAGCTTTTGGGCTGAGTATTCTGACCCTATAACTGAGCTCATGAATGTCAAGCACACAGGGTCAGTGCAGGATTATCAGAGGGCTTTTGTTAATGTTATCACCAGGATCAACCTAGCTACTGAGCATGCAATCAGTATTTTTTTGAATAACTTAAAACCTGAGCT